ACTTGAGTCATGTGCTTGGCTATAAGTATTGTCCACATCTTATATATTACATGTTCCCAGTGATGCTAGACAATTCCAGTTCTTTGTAGAACAAACCATAATATGTAAGGTCTTGTTCCATGTTTTCCACGATAAAAACTGCTAGTAATTACATTGGTTCCCTAATTAGTCTTAATTTCTTGTACAAGCTCATTTAATACCAGTACCGCATCGTTTCGTTCAGTTGGGAATGTCAATGGACATCCATGATATTTCAGATCACTGAGACTAAGTATAAACTAGCGCCATCTATTACCCGAAATTATAATATTCATTAAAATTAATTGTATTTATAAAATACTGATTTGGAAAAGACATTTCGGCTTTTAACTTCGAAATTTAAATGTAGCTTCAAATTGCTATGTGAATATATGCTGACGATAAAAAAATAAAGATTTACGTAATAAAAGAAACAATTTCTTCCAGAAACAATCACAATGTTTACGAGCTTGAACTAATTTTGACTGGACATTCTAACTCACCTGCATTACACTTGTTTAATGATTGAAAAATTATATTTTTACATTACCTAGATATTGTGCTTTTTCGTACTTACTCATTATGTGTACGTAAAGCCACGATTTTTCTTAGAGTTATATAAAACAAAATAGTAGCTTTCCAGACTTGTTTTTCATTAAAAATGGGAATATGATATGAAAACTCTGTACTTAAGACAAACATTTTTGTTAATAACGAGAAAGTTGATGACTCACGAACTGACCTCCTATTTGAACCCTGAAGAAGAAAGATCTCTCCCTGTTTGTGATTTATCACATTTCTGATCCTACGAGATTTCTTGATATCATCAACAGTGTATAGGTTTTGATCCTATCAGATTTCTTGATATCATTAACAATGTATAGGTTTTGATCCTACAAAATTTCTTGATATCATTAACAGTGTATAGATTTTTGATCCTACGAGATTTCTTGATATCATCAACAGTGTATAGGTTTTGATCCTACAAAATTTCTTGATATCATTAACAGTGTATAGCATTTTGATCATACAAGATTTCTTGATATCATTAACAGTGTAAAACATTTTGATCCTACAATATTTCTTGATATGATCAACAGTGTGTAGGTTTTTGATGCTACAAGGTAACTTGATATGATCAACAGTGTGTAGCTTTTGGATCCTACAATATTTCTTGATATCATCAACTATGTATAACTTTTTGACCTACAAGATTTCGTGATATCATCAACACTTTATAGCTTTTGATCCTACAGGATTTGTTGATATATTCAACAATGTATAGCTTTTTCATCCTACAAGATTTTTTGTTATCATCAACAGTGTAATGTTTTTGATCCCACAAGAGATCTTAATATTATCAACAGTGTATTGGTTTTGATCCTTCATGGTTTCATGATATCATGAACAATGTATACCTTTTTATCCTACAAGATTTCTTGATATCATTAACAATGTGGCGCTTTTTTGATCGTACAAGATATCTTGATATCATTAACAGTGTATAGCCTTTTAGATCCTACAAGATTTATTGATATCATGAACAAAGTATAGGTTTCAGATCCTACAAGATTTCTTTATATCATCAACAGTGTATAGGTTTTTGATCCTACAAGGTTTCTTGATATCTTCAACAGTATATAGGTTTTTGATCCTACAACGATTCTTGATATCTTCAACAGTGTATAGCTTTTTGTTCCTACAAAATTTCTTGATAGCGTCAACAATGTACAACTTTTTGATCCTACAATATTTCTTGATATCGTCAACAGTGTAAAGGTTTTTGATCCTACAAGATTTCTTAATATCGTTAACAATGTATAACTTTTTTATCCAACAATATTTCTTGATATCATCAACAACGTATGTTTTTGATCCTACAATATTTCTTGATATCATCAACAGTGTATAGGTTTTTGATCCTAAAAAGTTTATTGATATCATCAACAGTGTATAGGTTTTTGATCCTACAAGATATCTTCATATCATTAACAGTGTATAGTCTTTTAATCCTACAAGATTTCTTGATATCATGAATAAAGTATATGTTTTAGATCCTATAAGATTTCTTTATATCATCAACAGTGTATAGGTTTTTGATCCTACAAGGTTTCTTGATATCTTCAACAGTGTATAGCTTTTTGGTCCTACAAGATTTCTTAAGAGCGTCAACAATTTACAACGTTTTGATCCTAGAATATTTCTTGATAGCGTCAACAATGTATGTTTTTGATCCTTCAAGATTTATTGATATCATCAACGAGTGTAGGTTTTTCCTATACACTGTTGATGATATCGAAATATTGTAGGATCTTTTTGATCCTACAAGGTTTCTTGATATCATCAACAGTGTATAGCATTTTAATCCTACAAGATTTATTTATATCATGAACAAAGTATACGTTTTTAATCGTTCAAGATTTCCGTATATCATCAATAATGTATGTTTTTGATTCTACAAGATGTATTGATATCATCAACAGTGTATAGGTTTTTGATCATTCAAGGTTTCATGATATCATCAACAATGTATAGCTTTTTCATCCTACAAGATTTCTTTATATCATCAACAGTGTATAGGTTTTTGATCCTACAAGGTTTCTTGATATCTTCAACAGTATATAGGTTTTTGATCCTACAACGATTATTGATATCTTCAACAGTGTATAGCTTTTTGTTACTACAAAATTTCTTGATAGCGTCAACAATGTACAACTTTTTGATCCTACAATATTTCTTGATGTCATCAACAGTGTAAAGGTTTTTGATCCTACAAGATTTCTTAATATCGTTAACAATGTATAACTTTTTGATCCAACAATATTTCTTGATATCATCAACAACGTATGTTTTTGGTCCTACAATATTTATTGATATCATCAACAATGTATAGCTTTTTGATCGTACAAGATATCTTCATATCATTAACAGTGTATAGCCTTTTAATCCTACAAGATTTCTTGATATCATCAACTATGTATAACTTTTTGACCTTCAAGATTTCGTGATATCATCAACACTTTATAGGTTTTGATCCTACAAGATTTGTTGATATGTTCAACATTGTATAGCTTTTTGATCCTAAAAGATTTCTTGATATCATCAACAGTGTGTAGGTTTTTGATCATAAAGGTAACTTGATATCATCAATAATGTATAGCTTTTTGATCGTACAAGATATCTTGATATCCTCAACAGTATATAGGTTTTTATCCTACAAGGATTCTTGATATCTTCAACAGTGTATAGATTTTTGGTCTTACAAGATTTCTTGATAGCGTCAACAATGTACAACGTTTTGATACTACAATATTTCTTGATATCATCAACAATGAATGTTTTTGATCGTATAAGATTTATTGATATGATCAACAATGTGTAGGTTTTTCATCCTACAATATTTCTTGATATCATCAACAGTGTATAGGTTTTTGATCCTACAAGGTTTATTGATATCTTATACAGTGTATAGCCTTTTAATCCTACAAGATTTATTGATATCATGAACAAAGTATACGGTTTTAATCGTACAAGATTTCTTTATATCATCAACAATATATGTTTTTAATCGTACAAGATTTATTGATGTCATCAAAAATTTATAGCTTTTTTATCTTTCACGATTTTTTGATATCATCAACACTGTATAGGTTTTGATCCTACTATATTTCTTGATATGATCAACAGTGTATATGTTTTTGATCCTAAAAGGTTTCTTGATATCATCAACAGTGTATAGCTTTTCAATCCTTCAAGATTTATTGATATCATGAACAAAGTATACGTTTTTAATCCTACAAGATTTCCTTATATCATCAACAATGTATGTTTTTGATTCTACAATATTTATTGATATCATCAACAGTGTATAGGTTTTTGATCCTTCAAGGTTTCATGATATCATCAACAATGTATAGCTTTTTGATCCTACAAGATATCTTGATATCATCAACAGTGTATAGCTTTTCAATCTTACAAGATTTTTTGATATCATGAACAAAGTATAGGTTTTAGATCCTACAACGATTCTTGATATCTTCAACAGTGTATAGCTTTTAGTTCCTACAAAATTTCTTGATAGCGTCAACAATGTACAACTTTTTGATCCTACAATATTTCTTGATATCATCAACTATGTATAACTTTTTGACCTACAAGATTTCGTGATATCAACACTTTATAGGTTTTGATCCTACAAGATTTGTTGATATGTTCAACATTGTATAGCTTTTTGATCCTACAAGATTTTTTGTTAGCATCAACAGTGTATAGTTTTTGATCCCACAAGACATCTTGATATCATCAACAGTGTATTGGTTTTGATCCTTCATGGTTTCATGATATCATGAACAATGTATAGCTTTTTATCCTACAAGATTACTTGATATCATCAGCAATGTATAGCTTTTTGATCGTACAAGATATCTTGATATCATTAACAGTGTATAGCCTTTTAGATCCTACAAGATTTATTCATATCATGAACAAAGTATAGGTTTTAGATCCTACAAGATTTCTTGATATCATCAACAGTGTGTATGTTTTTGATCCTACAAGGTAACTTGATATCATCAACAATGTATAGCTTTTTGATCGTACAAGATATCTTGATATCATTAACAATCTATACCTTTTTGATCCAAAGTATAGGTTTTAAAACTTGATGAAGAAACGCAACAAGATGAAACAAAAACCTTTTCTGAAATGACATTTTTATTTGTGTTAACTTTTATCTGAAATATATAAAAATAAAGCGTACATTTTATACTGCATTTCGCTTATATGGACATAAAGTAATATAAAATAAAGAGGAAAACATTGCATCACAATCACTTAGCTAAATGTAAAATCGTTTAGTTCTATAGCAAGTATATTGCACTAAAAATAAGTTTTTTAAATTATGGCACGAGTATCAATCAGGCTCTGTATGAATATATATATATTAGTTTAAATTTAGCTAAAACATTTATGTAACAAATAAGAAAGTCGAATTATGAAACATAATATGATGTTTTGTCAACTACAATTAAACGGTAATGTTGGTTTAATTCCACTTTTATCAGGCTTTCAGAAGCGCTCTACATATTCCTTATGATGGGGGGGATTTAAAATAAAAGCACGTAAGTTTAGCTTCTGGCATTTGTATAGTACAAGTACGAAGTATATTTTCTTCTCATTGTCACATTCGAAACGTCAGGATTAATCACGACCGTTTGAAACTTAGACGGTAATAACTTACCAATTTGTTTCTTAAAAGTCATTACTAAGTCGATTAACTCAGAGCAGTCAACACTAATTACCTTAAGAGTTAAGCAAAATCCACTGTGGATTCAATCAACTCTTACAAGAATTAAGTTAAATATGCTGTATCCTATGAACTCTGATGATCTTAAGAGAATTCGTTTACAGACATTGGTATGTGGTAGGACCTAAATGTTTACACACTTGTTTTTACTTCGCTTTGCACGTTTCTTCTTTAATTGGTGTTTAACTTATATTTCAGAACATTTTCACGGCATCCATCTTATTGGTGTTTAAGTTGTATTTTGGAACACTTGTACGCCATCCATCTTATTGGTTTTAAGTTGTATTTTGGAACACTTGCACTGCCATCCATCTTGTTGGTGTTTAAGTTGTATTTTGGAACACTTGCACGTCACCTCTCTCATCGGTATTGTATTTTGGAATACTTGCACACCATCCATTTTATTGGTTTTTAAGTTGTATTTTGGAACACTTGCACGTTACCTCTCTCATCAGTATTGTATTTTGGAACACTTGCACGCCATCCATCTTATTGGTGTTTAAGTTGTATTTTGGAACGCTTCCACGCCATCCATCTTGTTGGTGTTTAAGTTGTATTTTGGAACACTTGCACGCCATCCATCTTATTGGTGTTTAAGTTGTATTTTGGAACATTTGCACGCCACATTTCTCACTAATGTTTGAGCTGCATTTCGGAACATAGTTTAGTATTCAAATTTAGAAATATTTCTCAAATAATGCTGTAGAGTAAGCATGTCTTAATGTATTTAATTTGGCCACTAAAATAAAAAACAATAATTTCCACACCAACGAACTAAATATTGTGAAGTAACTTCAGAAACTGTCAAACATTTTAACGTTAAGCCTGACTATGATCTTTAACGTCGTATAACGAAGTATCTTCCATATTTAACAGTTATTTTAAAGCTATTTTTTCTGTTGAACAATTATATTATTCAACAACATATAATCTCTAAGTGTTCCTCTAAACCAACTGACACTTTCTCTCCCTAGACATTGTCACAGCTGAGAAGGCGAAGAAAACAAAACTACTGTATTACATTTTTAAGCAAATTTAGGCTTAATAAACTAACCACTTCAACTTGACATTTCTTCTCATTTTTCTCGGGGTGGGGTGAGAAACAATGATATTTAATTGAATTGCATAGTCAAATCCGTTCTAACACATTGCATCTCACTAAATATACTGTTATTGTTGAAGTTACAACTTCCCAAGTTGAAATCCATATATTCAGACGCCACCTGGGGATATTCTGGTGAAACATCGTATCTAATCGCTGGGGTTGGTGCTTTCGGTGCGTATGATTTCTGTTCTTCTTGACCTGACGGAGAGGGTCGACTACTAAAAGTGAACGGCCACGTCTGGAACAAACCAAAAGTATAACAAGTTAATATGGTAACATAAAATCCACTGTTACGGTATTAGCCGTAGAAGTTGACAGCAGAATTGTTAATACGGTCATTAAAAACTTGAGTAAAACAATACTGGCACCATACGCTGATCGGCAATTTGTGTGATACCACATCACAAATAAACTTATAATAAATATTTCTTTACAGACTATGTAAGGGTTTCCAGTGAAAATACTCTACAAGAAAAAATTCAATTGTACTATGTCTATACTGCAAGCCGCTGCCGAAGATGCTTTTCTGTCAACGTCAAAGCTCAGCCAGCTGGCCGATTTCACAAGACAGAAACTTCAACTAATATACTTTTTATATAACTCATTTATAACACATCAACTACAATAGTGTTTACAGCCTAAGCTGGCGAAGCATCGTGTGTTGGTCAGTAACCAGATAACAGCTCCATTATGTTCATCTCTGTCTGTCTTACTGTTACCATGAATGTAATAACACGTTGATGGACATCTCTGTCAATCCTACTGTTACCACCAATGTAATAACACCTTTATGTACATCTCTGTCAGTTTTACTGTTACCACCAATGAAATAAGACCTTTATGTACATCTCTGTTAGTCCTAATGTTACCACTAATGTAATAAGACTTTTATGCACACCTCTGTCAGTCTTATTGTTACCACCAATGTAATTAAACTTTTAATTACATCTCTATCAGTCCTACTGTTACCATAAATGTAATAAGACCTTTATGTACACCTCTGTCAGTCCTACTGTTACCTCCAATGTAATAACACCTTTATGTACACCTCTGTCAATCCTACTGTTACCACCAATGTAATAACACTATGCACACCTCTGTCAGTCTTACTGTTACCACCAGTGTAATAACACCTTTATGTACACCTCTGTCAGTCCTACTGTTACCACCAATGTAATAAGACATTTGTCAACATCTGTACCAACATCATTGTCATCGATTAATAAGCATTATGACCAACAACGTTATGTTTGATTGTTTATTGAGCATTTTTCGCCATAGTGATACAAGGTCTACTTGCGCGTAAATGTCCCTAGTTTCGAACTGAAAAACTACAGGGAAAACAGCTCGTTAAGAGCACTTACCGCCAACTGTTGGGTTACTCTTGACCGAAAGCATAGTATAATTTGACCGTCATTCAATAGCACACCCTTGGCCCCTAAGTGTGTTGTGTAATTTTTCGAACGATGATCCCTCGGATTTAAAGTTCTAACATTGCTACCCACTAGGGCCATGCCCGGCCTCTAACATCGTCCAGTCCTTTTTAAGCATCGTCAAAGTCGTTATGAATATTATTCTTATCAAAATTCTTACCTGTCATTTACTTGGCCTTGTTATGAAAAATATAACCAATATGTTATTAACAACGCTAACTTTCTTAAATACCGTTATATAAATAACTCGACTGGCCCTTATTTTCAGCACCTTTTCCGTCACCCAAGTAATTTTCATATATATCGCGAATTTAGGCGAAGAAGGACGTTTCGTGAATATAGTGTTTTCAGAATAACAATAAACAAGCCCCTCAGTGGCACAGCGGTATGTCTGCGGATTTACAACGCTAGAATCCGGGTGTTGATACCCATGGCGGGCAGAGCACAGATAGCCCATTGTGTAGCTTTGTGCTTAATTACAAACAAACAAACATTAAACAAAGTCGTAAATTAATAACTCTTTTGACCCTAGAGATATCTTATTTCTACAAAATATTGTTCTCTTTCTATCTGTAACCAGTCCGACGTTACTGAGCACTAATTCCACCAGAAGGCATAGACTGAGATCAAGAAAGAGAGTGTATTACTTTTGTAGTAAAAAGAATCTTTTTGAAGTTTTCATTGAAAATAGTGCATTTTGATGGTATCCGAGGCTATTTTTACACTTATGGGTGTAATCTAGGGTGTGCGACCTCTCCCCTCCCCCACCGAATGCAGCCCCAACTCATTCAGCACGTTATTAAAATTCTGTGTATTACAGGTTGATGAGTTGAAAAAAACCGCATCTTAACATTTTATAGCACTGGATCACAAGCTGTACAATTGACGTCACAAATAATAACGATACGACACATCAAATACAGCTCGATCTATTATTAAACTTCTGTCGCGAGCTTCCTAAAACTATCATTGACATAAAAAAATAACCTTCTAAATAATAGGTTATTACTATTATCAATATTAATTGATAGCGCAAAACAAGAAATACTAAAGCTGTAATAATAAAAAAAAAAAAAAAACTTAAGGGTTTTCAAGTAATAACAGCTCGTGACTTGAGCATGCCTTTTGGGCAAGCAGCACGCGCTCGTGTGGCACGTCAACATTATAGTATTCACAAGTTGATAGTCGACAGCTGTCCAGGCGGAAACATTGCCACTGAAAACGGCGCGATACAGCTGGTGGCAAGCAAGGTACAAAGAAATCACAAGCTTAGGCAAACAAACGCGAATTTAGCAGCTAGGCTATATAAATATTTTAAGATAAACAAAACACTACGACGGAGAAGTACGAAATACGTACAAGTCATCACTGTAAAGATGTACAGTTGGAATGATTACAAAGGAAACATATTGATATCCAAATATTTCAACTTTACTTTCGGTCAACATTAGAATCTATACGAGACTGGTGAAATACTGTAACTTATTAAAGTTCAAAATTCTTCACAGCCGTATTACTCTCTGTCCATATCTGTATCTTCATTCCTTAAGTTTATCGATGGTAAACAACAAACCTAAGATTAGATAAGTATAGTACCTTAGGGATATCTACAACACCATAAACCTCAGATTAGACAAATATAGTACCTTCGGGATATCTACAACACCATAAACCTAAGATTAGACAAATATAGTACCTTCGGGATATCTACAACACCATAAACCTAAGATTAGACAAATATAGTACCTTCGGGATATCTACAATGAAGGTGCTATATTTGTCTAATCTTAGGTTTATGGTGTTGTAGATATCCTGAAGGTACTATATTTGTCTAATCTGAGGTTTATGGTGTTGTAGATATCCCGAAGGTACTATATTTGTCTAATCTTAGGCTTATGGTATATAGTACCTTCAGGATATCTACAACACCATAAACCTAAGATTAGATAAGTATAGTTCCTTCAGGATATCTACAACACCATAAGCCTAAGATTAGACAAATATAATACATTCAGGATATCTACAAAACCATAAGCCTAAGATTACACAAGTATAGTTCCTTCAGGATATCTACAATAACACAAACCTATGATTATACAAGTATAATTCCTTCAGGATATATACAACACCATAAGCCTAAGATTACACAAGTATAGTTCCTTCAGGATATCTATAATAACACAAACCTATGATTATACAAGTATAATTCCTTCAGGATATCTACAACACCATAAACCTAAGATTACACAAGTATAGTTCCTTCAGGATATCCACAACAACATAAGCCTAAGATTATACAAGTATAGTACCTTCGGGATATTTACAATAACACAAACCTATGATTATACAAATATAATTCCTTCAAGATATCTACAATAACACAAACCTATGATTAGACAAATATAATTCCTTCATGATATCTACAACACTATAATCCTAAGATTATACAAATATAGTACCTTCAGAATATCTACAACAACATAAGTCTAAGATTACACTGCTCAAATCACATTTGAAACTTTCAAGGTGATTCATTAAGCTACACCTTTCAAAATATATTAAACGTCCCTCTGGTTAATAAAAAATACAAATGTCTAAACTAGAAAGATTGTATAATACACTGATTCTTCCATGGATTGTGAAGTCCCTTCAAAAACCTTATTACATAAAGAATACTGCAGTACATTACACTTTAAATTATACAATTAACAGTAAAGTAATTCTTGATAATTAACAATATTAATATTTATAAGTATGGACATTATAATTACTAAGTCATTAATTAATTGAGTGAAACATAATATACAATCAAAATTCTGAATAATAAAACAAAATCTTTCTTTATTCATTGATTGTTCCTAAATCTTTCCTAGTGGCTTTCTTTTCCATGGCTTTTTGTCATGAAGATGGGATGACTTCTTGACCTTTAACAGTACTTGGCACTGAGCGAGTTCTTTTCCAGGGAATTCACTGGTGGTTTTGTCCTTGGTAATATTCTGGAAGTGATCTCGATAGAAACCTCTAGTTCTTCAGCAGGTTCACTTAATTCGTGTGAAGTATTATTTTATGAAGCTAACCACAAGGACGTTCTCTCGCCAATGTGCTTCCAAAAACCATCATTGTAGCGTACATTTGGCTTAAACCTCTTATCTTTTTGGACTTTGCTCTATGGAACTTAAGTTTGATTTTCTTTATTAGCTTGTGTTTTTTTCCTCGTTGTTGCTAGAAGTTCAATCTCTGGAGCTGTAGTTGTCATGGGGACTTCTAGCCATAGACCCAAAATCTATAGAAGTAATTCTATATTTTTGGGTGAAGTCTATTCCCTATATGAACTCTTTATCTAGTCAGTTAAATGCTTATGACCCACTGCACAGCTTCCTCTAAGGATATATACTTATTTTGCTTTATCTTAATTCGAGTATCCTCAATTACTATAGTATCTATGGATTGATAGTGAGCCAATAAATCCATTACACCACGTAGAGCATCTAGATAAGATAACTGGGCAAGTCTTTGCACATCTCCAGCAAGTTTGGATAAGGTCTCTTCCTTACTCTGCTTCTAAACTTTTCTTTAGAAACTCCTGTCTGATGTGACTCACCAAATCTGTTCGATAAAATGACCACTAATGCTTCTTTGTTAGCGGGTGTTGCTTAATGTTGTTAACTCTGATCTATTTACACGAATAGCATCCTGTTCACTATTCACTTTGAAAATTATTTCAAACTGTATTTGATATGCCTTCTGCACAACTTTTCTTTTATACTATGTTGCTCTTTTTTATTGAGATATATTTTATACTGTTCTGCTAACTATATAACTTGCCCGGCATGGCAGGTGGTTAGGACGCTCGACTCGCAATCTGAAGGTCGCGGGTTCCAATCCCCGTCCCTTTCAGCCGTGGAGGCGTTATAATGTGACGTTAGTAAAAGAGTAGCCCAAGAGTTGGCGGTGGGTGGTGATGACTAGCTGCCTTCCCTCTAGTTTCACACTGCTAAATTAGGGACGGCTAGCGCAGGTAGCCCTCGTGTAGCTTTGCGTGAAATTCAAAACAAACAAACTATATAACCTGATGAGTAGTAACATGGCTCCAGAAAGGTTCTGCAGTCATATCAGTAGTGATAAAAGGTGTAAATCAGATGTGTTATCCACCTAATGATATTTGAGGTTGTAATTCTTAAAAAGATACAGAGAGAGGTGTGGCTGGTATGATCCTTCAGTTTCCAGATGTTTTATCCTAGTGTTGATGTTATTTCAATATCCTTAGTTGATACTGTTGTTATTATCTTTCTAAACTGTTTCCTATAACTTCTATGATATTGTTTTCCGTGAGCGGTTGCTCACCGGTATGTCTGGAAGCTTATAATGCTAAACTTCAGGATTCATTGCTCAAAACAACAACAAGCAATCTACGATCTTAGTGTGATAATCCTTCTGAACATTTCCTATGACTTCTTTGAGCTTATTCTAATAATCCTTCTGTATTTCGTCAGTCTTGTTCTTATAATCCTGTTGTATTTATTCAGTTTGTACACGTAATCCTTGTGTATATTTCCTATAAGTTTTTCGACTTCAGTCTGTAAATTTTCCATCTTGTCTTCCATCATATTTTGATTTTATTTACTCTATAAAATTTTTGTGTCCGTGTTTTATCGTTTCCAGCGAATTTTCCATCTCGCTTTGACAGTTTGAGCACATGTCGTTATTTCTAAGTGCAGTTTGGATTCTATTTTAATTTTACTAAAATAACCCCACGTCTGACACTATTGTTATAACAGTTTCTATTTTAAGCGCCATCTCTTGGATAATTCCGTAAAATGAAGAATGCAAAGTACACTAACAAAAGCATGTCCACTCTAAGTGAATGTTCTACAGATATAATTTAATAACCTATTATTCACAGAGCGATAGGCCTAACTTCACAAATAACTCTAAGCTATGTACTTGTTACTTTTATCGCACATACGATATTCGTATTTCTATTATTTAGTCAAACATGAAAGAATTATTCTCAAACTAAACTACATGACTAACAATAACATCCAAATTAACTAACTCATTAATAATCACTCATCCGTCTACTCTAGCCTGACTTGCGTTTTATATCACTAAAATTGTTGCCTGATCTATCAAGAAAGGGGAAACTAACAAGGAGCCCCGGCGAATGAAACCTGGTTATGCCGTAAAGCCCGCAAAGCACCTTTAGGCTATATCTTCATTTCATCATAAAAAGGATAGTTTGGCTTTTCTTTGCATATAGAAGCTTGATACATTAAGAATGATTGAAATAATAATTTGAGTAATTATTAATATATATTTGTTACTTTATAGATTTAATAGATACTTGTTACTTTATTAACGTTTTTACGCTTATACTGTGATTTTGCCTCGTTTATGAGTTCGTTGCTATCCTAATTTAAGATCTTTTAAATAAGTTCTTAAAATGTTTAAAAACAGATAGAAAGGGGGCCCGGCGAGGATATTTGCCCTGGGGCCCATGCTGACACTCTACGCTCCTGCTGACAAGGCAGGCTACACTATGGAAGATAATTATTTATTGTCATTATTATTATTCGGTTATCTAACGCCTTATGTGTAACCAGTAGATCGGTATTTGTGTTACCTTTTCTTACCATGAGATTGACAGTAATCTAGCCATAATGTATTTCTAGTAAGAAAAATACAATTATTGTGGTGTTTAATGCCTTAAGTTGTGCGATCGAGACATGTTAAGTTCTTCTGACTGAAAATGTATGTACTGCAATAATGAACTGATCTTTAAAATGTATAAAATATCGTGACATGGCAAGACATCGGCATGCAAAATGCCCCCATTTGTGGGACCAATTTATGCATTGAACTATGTTTTAACTAATAAACATGCACTTTGAATACGTTTTGTGGACAAAATTAAACGTAGATCATTTGGTTGACGAATGCGTAATAAAATTTGAAAATTTATAATTACAAACGACTCGGTATGACTTTTCAAATACTCCTTAAGTGTCAGTTCTGCCTTATTTTGTTTACGTCTCTCGTCAATAGATGTCACTCTAAAATAGCTTAAACTGTGTTTTTTACCAAAGTAAATGGGTTGACGACCTTCCGTGGTCCACTATCTTCCGTCAGGATCTGTCGGAGATGGGCGATGTAACTCGAAGCAAGGCGTAATGTGTCGAGCTTAGAAAGTTTCGTGTCGGCTGGGACCCATGGAAGTGAAGTCTTGAGTCTCGAAAAAGCCTTACTCAGAACTCTCATCCGCGCCCTCTCTCGGGCATTAGCAGCATTTCTCTGAAGGGGCCTGTTCTTCTCAGGTATATCCATGTCCTCTTCGCAGTCCTTACGTTTTCTAGCCATCCTAGAACCGGAATCGGTAGATTTGTCTAATATTGGCCACGAAGCACTAACCTAACATACACAAAAAAACAACTAATATCAGTAACAGAACGAAAGTTATGGAGTAACAATCAAAAGAAGTTTACAGCATAAATAAGAACCTGACATTAATTATGATTATTGGCATTAAAGATCTGTACTTATCACAAAAACAAGTGTATCTTCAAACAAAGGATACAAAAACACATAACACGAAATCACAAGTCGTTTTCAAGAGAACGTGTTAATGGCCTGTTGATGAGGGCACTCGACACGATTCGCGGGACCGAATCTCGTTGCCGAACATGCTCGCCATTTCAGCCGTGGGAGCGTTACAATGTGACAGTTAATCCCATTATTCGTTAGTAAAAGTTGGTGATGGATGGTGTTGATTATCTGCCTTTCCTCTGGTCTACCACTCCGAGATTAGGGACGACTAGGACAGATAACTCTCGAGTAGCTTTGCACGCAATTTCAATTAATATGATTGTGGTAAGTATAGTTATTTTTTCTAAATTCACAAAACATTTAGTGCAATAAATAGTTAGAAATGGATAGTAAACTTGTGGAAATGCTCTGATTATTTGTTTTTCCAACGAAACACGACAGTAAAGTTTAGAAATGATTGCCATTAAACTTTCTCTGTCATCGTTGTTGTCCGTCAGTAAGGCAAATCTTCTAAAAACCCACCCTTTAACGTAGTTTGATTTAAGTGATTACAACAGAAGTGTTATGACTTTTTCTACCATAAATGTAGCCCAGGGATTAGAGTTCTAGAGTTTAGCCCACATGCACATTAGTCATAACGTCTTATTTAGTTTAAATCTATCTACATTACACTAACCACAAGAATTCAAGGGCTTAAAGTTTCTTACATCTGGATATCATAAGAGCCATATTCTGATTTAGTTATTGTAGGTGTTCCCTATACGAAACGTTCGATGTTTTTACTAGCGGAAACTTTGTACTTTGAAGTACAATTGGACAAAAGCAATATGACGAATATCAACTTTGATATTGTGATAACTTCTACATAAAGAAACCAAACGTTGTCTACAACAGAACAATCTATAAAAAACCAAATGTTGTCTACTACAGAAGAATCTATATAAAGAAAACAAACGTTGTCTACAGCAGAACAATCTATATAAACAAACTAAATGTTGTCTGCAGCAGAACAATCTATATAAACAAACCAAACGTTGTCTACATCAGAACAATCTATATAAACAAACCAAACGTTGTCTACAGCAGAACAATCTATATAAACAAAACAAACGTTGTCTGCAGCAGAACAGTCTATATCAACAAACCAAATGTTGTCTACAGCAGAACAATCTATATAAACAAACCAAACGTTGTCTACAGCAGAATAATCTATATAAACAAACCAAACGTTGTCTACAGCAGAACAATCTATATAAACAAATCAAACGTTGTCTACAGCAGAACAATCTATATAAACAAACCAAACGTTGTCTGCAGCAAAACAATCTATATAAACAAACCAAACGTTGTCTGCAGCAAAACAATCTATATAAATAAACGACACTCTGCATACAGAAACATATATATTGGCTTCTGTACATCTGCCATTTTGAACATGCTCTGGGTTAGTATTAAGTTTAGGGTCTTAGAACGATAAAATCCTGGGTTCGATTTCTCGTGGACAGAGTGCAGACAGTCCATTGTGTAGCTTTGCACTACAAAAAAACACCACCATACACTGTTGTGCTGCCATCTTGTGCAGTTTTTCCACTTTCCCTTGTTTTAAGTACAAACTCGTACACATAAGTTGTTAAACCAATAAATATAAAACTTATATACATAAACTGTACCAAACACGACTTCATTATTACTGTATCAATAAATGTTCTTTAGTGGACGCTCACTTGACGAATATACACTTTATTTTCTGACGTAATTCTCTCCAGAGGGATGAATGACGCACTTGTCGTGATGCTTCTGTTTTGAAGACTGGCGACTTTTTTAATTTGTCTTTCTTACACCAAGCAAACTTCTGTCTCCCCACACAATGTTTTACTTTCAAATCTGACCTCAAGCAACAGATTAATATTTTTATGCCTATACACACAGTTGGACTTGTAACACTACACCCAGTAACCTGGGGGTGGTGTGGGCCGTTGAACTCCATCATATAAACACGTGCATCAAGCATCAAAGACTATGGGATTCGACGGACAATGAGGTTGACAATTTAATTCCACATTTCAACCACATCCCATGGAAAGATTCTGATTTTGAAGATTACACGTTTTCTCTGAGGCACCACGACTATATTAAACAACCAAGTAAACCAAATATACAGTGAACCAAGATAAATATTTTCATCTATCTGTCTATCCCTTTATCTCAAGCCCATGTAAATCAACCACATTCTCCGTCTATACACACCGCATGCGACGAACAAGAACATGAAAGAACATTTTTTATTTATTTGTTTTTCTTTACCAGTATTTCTCAAGGATCCAGTTCGCGTACATGTATAAAATTAAAGATGTTCCAAATCTCGTAACAAAAACACACTGATTAGGAGAAAGTGAAATCGTTATCTTGATCAAAGTGGTTTTTGTTTGATATATATATATTTCAATTCTATGGTTTCCCTTTGTAGAGTTATTGGAAAACACCTGAGGTACCTGACAAACATCAAATTACGATGTATTTTTCTGTGAATATAAATATGAATTTTCTCAGCCAATAAGAGTGAAAGAAACACGCACGAGCTTCTTTAGCCAACAAGTATAAAACAAACAAGGTTTTTTTTTCAGCCAGCAAATGTAAAAAAAGACGCAAGGATTTTCGCAGTACATAATTAAACAAAAACTAAGTTTTTCTGAGTCAAAAGATACATAGCAAAAACGCAGAAGTTTTTTCAACCAGCAAGTGTAGAACAAACAAGAGTTTTTTTCAACAAACAAGTGTAGAACAAACAAGTAAGAGTTTTTCTCAATTAGCAAGTGTAGAACAAACAAGTAAGAGTTTTTCTCAACCAACAAGTGTAGAACAAACAAGTAAGAGTTTTTTCAACAAGCAAGTGTAGAACAAACAAGTAAGAGTTTTTCTCAACCAACAAGTGTAGAACA